GAGAGGCGGTTAAAATCAGCAAACGGTAAAAACAAAAACGGGGGCAGTTCGATTAAAGATGGAGGATAAGCAAATCCGGTGAGTCATCGTAAACATAACTAGTGTGCATGATCACAAGAGCCAGGCCATATTTATATGCTGATAAATAATGTGCAGCAATAACAGATGCTAACAAGCAAGAAGATGGGAAGAGCTTGTGTTTTTTCTCGTTGTTGTTTTTTATCTCAACGTGACGTCCATGCCAAAAACTAGATTTTTGGTTTCATTCAAAACATTACATTTCCAGAAGTCTCCCACTCGCAAAAGTGTTGTGTGGGTTTTTTCTCTCTTTTTTTTTTTTTGGGTTTTTTTTTTTTTGCCCTTAAAACCGGATTGGAAAAAAAATCATTACAACTGAAATCATTACTAGTGTTTGTGCCTCGGGACATTCGTGTGTGTTTGTGTGGTTACGGTTAAGGTTAGAGTATGTATTCACGAAATTACAACAACTCCTCTGAAGTCTGTGTGTGTTTGACAGCAAAAAGAAGCTGTGTGCTCTCTATGGGAAGTGGACAGAGTGCCTCTATGTTGTTGACCCATCTGCCTTTGAAGCACACAAGAAAAACAACAAAAAAGGGGCAGAGGACAAGAAGGGCGGCAATGCGGTATGAATTACTGAACACTGTGGAATCCCTTCACTTTGCTGTTGTGATGTTTGCATGAGTAATATCATCCAGTGGTAAAAATGGAAAGCGACCGAGATCATTAGTGTTCGTATTTAACACGTTCTGTAATGATGCATCTTGGCTGGAGCTCATCTGTCTGTTCAGCATTATTTGTGTTTGTCGTGCTGTTCAGGGTTGCGCTGAGGATCAGGAGGAGGTTCCTTCACCACCTGCAGACACTGTGGAGGTGGTTCCTGGCAGCCAGCTGCTGTGGAAAATAGCACCCAGACCAGCTAACTCTGTCCAGGTCCTGCTGATTAATGCACCATTAGATCTTTATTGGGTACTCTTAGAAGAAATCCAATGTTTTAACGTACATACGCAATCTTTAATTGCAGATGTACAACTTCACATGCTTTGCGATGCAGCTGAATGAGTTGCATAAGGAGATGGAGGGTGCCATCCCTCAGACTGACTGCAGGCTCAGACCGGACATACGAGCCATGGAGAACGGTGACATCGGTAATGATTGGTGGCACTTAACCTAAACTGAAACTGGGGGGAAATTTTCATTTGCTTCCTCAAAAAATGTCAAATATTTTGATAGATCTCGCCAGCGAGGAGAAGAAGCGACTCGAGGAAAAACAGCGAGCTGCTCGGAAAAACCGCTCCAAAGCGGATGAAGAGTGGAAGACGAGGTGAGACTGTGTTCTTCTTTCTTTATACTTTGACGCAGTAAACATGAAACCATGCAGGACTGACTAATTCCAGGCAATATTAAACCATCAGCCTTTGTTAGTGCAGATAAAATACCATTGCCTTTCTATTACCTCATATGAAGTTTTCATGGCGTATCAATGAATTAACAGTTCTTATCTATATGGTGTCACACTTTGCGTGTTGAAAAAGCTCAAGTTGTATCTCCATTTTATCTTCACTTGTCTTTTTTTTCTGCTGCATCCTCGCTTTGACGTTAAGAAGCCCTGCCCTTGGCCCGAGGTTAGAGCTGTTCGCCGTTTGCATCTGAAATGTTTGATGTGATCACGTGACCTTAACACATCTTAATCTCTAATATAAAAAATTATCTACCACTGTGTGTATTTTCTATCCAGATATGATAGACAAATTTAATAAATCCGCTTTTCCTTCCACCAGCATGGCAGCTCCTCTTAATGGCACCAAATGCAATTACTCAATCACCCCGTCTTCCCTCCGAATCATACATTTCTTTCTCACTTTCTCTTGTTTGTATTCAGTTTTGGCTCGCCCTGCTGGGATCTATGAATGCTGATCTTTCTGTCATGTGTTTTTTAGGTGGTTTCAACAGGGGCAAAATCCCCACACCAGTTCCCAGGACTGGCTCTTCTGTGGTGGATACTGGAACAGGGCCTACAGCCAGATGCCGGACATTTATTAAAGGACTTTCTCTGCACAAAGCATGAACTGTTTTTATTGGAAAATTACAAAGACCAAGCAATATGAAAAAAGTGTACTTAAACAGTGTGGCCTTAAATTACTTTATGGAGATGAAGCTGTGCAGAAAATGTTTGACAGTATAGCATTTGCATTGACTTAAAGAGGTTTTTCTTTAAAATGGACTTTTAGCACAGTGGATAGGGTTTGTGATTTTTACTGTCCACCTGTCTTCTTTTAAATATTCATAATAGTGTTTTGTCTCCAGTTGTATATCTGTATATACTTTCCATAAATCCAGCCGTCAGTGACCTCATCATGTTATTTACATTCGCTCTGGACTCGCGTTGCACTCAAAAACCCACTGCTCGTCTAATGTGGATTGTGATTATTTTCTCCTGTATTTTGTTTTGTGAAGGAAAAAAGATTACAGAACAAAACCCACTGTAGATTTTCTGTATTAGTCTCAACCTTATAAAGATACATTAAGAACTGACTAATATGATTTTTTTTATTATTTGTTTTTATATTTTTCTGACTGCTGAAGACATAGATTGATATAAACCACGAGCAAAGCCTCAGTGATGGCAGTTTGGCCACTGTGATTGCGTTTGAGCCAGAATATCCATATTTAGACATGAGGGCGGTAAGTTATCAGCTAAGTCATGCAAGCTTATTGAGCAACTGACTGAGCACAGAAAAGAGACTAACATAAAAAAAAACAAAAAGAAAATAATTTTACTCAGCAAAAATGAAGATTTTGGGGGGGGGGGATGGGCCACAAATACAGTGCAGTCCAGTTCAGTGTTTCAACTTGAGCAGAGATAAAACTTTCTACAGTGATGGTCCACAGCCACCTGTAAATAAAGTGAACACAGGCATCTAATGCTAGGCCTCAACAGAATCTGAATAGATGGATATTTAATAAATTGTACCCCCATACAGTTACTTTAATTAAATGTTGAGGATAGAACTGTCTTTTCTACAAGTCTGTAAACATGTTTATAGCTGTTGTAACAGTTTATATTCTCTTTTTTGGAGGCAGCCAAGTGACCATTAGGCATATTTTGGCATTTCCACATTGGCAGAGCTTATGGACCATTCACACAGGAAGCAACTATCAGTAAATAGTAAACAGACTGGTTCTTATATAGCACGTTTCTCCTCTGATTCACTCAAGCACTTTTTCTATGCTTAAGTGCTTTCTATCTAAGATTCACACACATTCCTACTCTGGTGGATGCGGGCTAACGCCGAGGATATTTGACTGGAGCAGCCAGGGATCAAACTGCAATCTTCCAATTAGCAGATGACCTGCTCAACCTCCTGACCTGCAGCCACCCCATAAACCATAGCAATTTGATGACATCCAGCAACTTTTAGGGGCAAAATAACCACTGACAACGCAAACTGGGTGGGTCCCAATACTAGAACTGTACTATACTAATTCACAATGAACTGTTATTTGTTAAAAGTCATCTGTTGCCTATATAATAATCTATTTGTAACCCTAATTGATTAGTCATTTAATGCAGCCCGCTTGGATGTGTAGTAATTTACATATTACACGTTTAGAATAATTTATGACTATT